AGTTGGGTGGAGGGAGAAGGCAGATCCGCAGCCAGCTCACAGACAGCACCTGCCGCCTGCGTTTGGGGCCACGGTTTCGGGGAAAGGCGCCCCTGGGAAAAGGCTCCTTTCTGTCTTCAGTGTCCCCGGCGGCGGATCCCTGGCTGCTGGGGAAATCTCCAGTGCAGGCGGGGCGGGGTGCGGTGCAGAGACTGATCTAGAGAGGCCAAAGCCCGACCGACCCGCCTCGTCTCCAAGACTGGATTGCACCCTGCACCCTTTCCACCCGCTCCAACCCTTCATTCCACACCCCACCCAGCGCATCCCTAGGGGTGAAGATCGAGTCGCACGCGCGGACGCGGCGGCTGGGGAGCAGCTTCGTTCCCAGAAAGGCTTTTCCCTCACCGTTCCCCATCATCACATTGCAGGAAGCCGAACCAGCATCCAGCCCAGCCCACCTTCCCCTGCTTGGGAAAGTGCGGTTCTGGCTCTTGGAAAGATGTGCAGGATTTGTTCCCTTCGGAGATTGTATAGAGTCAGGCTGCAAAGGCCGGCTGCGCAACACAGACATCCCCTTCTCTTGCAGACTGTCACGCAGAAGAGCGACCCTGGTCACCCCCCCCCCCAGTCACCTGCAGCAGCAAGCCAGCCCTGGCGCCTGGCCATTTTGTCTTCTTTCGCTACTTGTGAGGTCGACGTGTGCTCAGAGTGTAGCCTCTGGCCCCACAGCAACACCTACCCTAAACTTTAGGGGCTTTTGGGTCGTCCCAAAGTTCAAGCTTCTTAGAAGCAACAAAGACTTTCTAAAGATCTCCACCCCTTCCCCCCCCTCACCCTATTCTTTCACTGCAACTGGGGTGTGTGCGTGGGGGGGAGTTGGGGCCTTTTCTCTTTCTAAGGCTTGGGGATGAGTTTTAAATCATGATGCTCTTATTTCTTGGTAACGGCCTGCTTTGAGCCTTTGTTCTGGTAAAGTAGGATTGCACACTGAAAGAGAGGCTGAGGATGAACAGTTTGACCCTTTAGGACAGTTCACGAGGTGGACAGCAGCGGCCCTCGGTCACCATTCTCGCTAATGGCATTCACACGCTCCCCTCCCCATCCTCCCAGAACATTTCAGCTTCGTTTTGTCCAGACCACACAAGTGCCTCTTGAATTGATTAAAGTCCAGCCAGGAGAGTCCAGGAGAAGGATATTTCGGGGCTGCTCTTATCTTCACAAGACGAAGTATACATGGAAATACAAGCATATCATCCTCCGGGTCTCGCCCCTTTCCCACCTCGCAGCAAAACCGAGCAAAAATGCTGAACAAATACAATTCAGCTATCTAGCCTACTAAGGAGCTTCGTTTCTTCTTTCCAAGAGTGGGTTTTTTTTTTGATAGTGAGAACTATTGCAGGATCCAAACTGAGTCCGCTCTTGAGAGCTACAGTATGGACATGGGGACGTCTTTATTCTAAAATGACACAGAATGGCATTTTCGTATATGCACGTTGCAAAGTAATGCAATAATACCCCACTGTATAAACCAAAAGAAACTCCGATTGTAAATTCACCCAAAGCCATGCTATCTTAATTTTTTTTGTGGGTGTATACTAGTATTGAGGCTTAAACTCAAGGTCTGGGTGGATTCCCTTAGCTTTTCTCCCCTCCCCCCCCCCCATCAAGGCTGGTGCTCTAGGACTTGAGCCATAGCTTCACACCCAGCTTTTTGGTGGTTAATTGGAAATAAGAGTCTCATAGACTTTTGAGAGGAGGCTGGCTTGGAAATGTGATCCTCATATCTCAGCCTCCTGACTAGTGTCCTAGCTCAATCAAAATACTTGAAGCGACCTATCCAAAAAAGTCATGTTTCTGTTGATACTAAAACAAACTGTCTTTTGGTTTTCTATTATATGAATCGACTAGTAGCTCCTGTCGGAAGACACAACTAGCCAAAGACTGCACCACCATAGTTCCTTATATTATGCCAGCAATTATTATGAATTTTAAGTAGTTATTGAATGCTTCATCAGGTTTAGCTATTTTTTTTCTTTAAGTAGTTGTACAAAGGGGTTTCAATTCAACATGTTGATTTACAAGCGCAATGCTTCATCATTCTCTCCCATTTCTCTCAAAGCCTTTAGCTTTTTCATCCTTTAATTTATCCACATTTGCAAACAACTAAAATGGTGTATCTGTTCTCAGTCTCTATTAGCCAAGGCTAGGTCCTTGGTTGGTTTTTAGAAGGAGTTTGAGAAGAAGATTTGGTATCAGTCACCATTGCCTGTAAAACCATACCACATTGAGCCCTTGGATAGTTCTGGTTGATTCCTCCTGGCCTGTCTTTTGCTTTGATTAACCTTTTAAATGGAATTTTCAGGCTCCTCGAAGATAGAGACCAAGGAAAGTTAAGAGAGTCTTAGGCCATAAGGAAACTGAATCTCTTCCCTCCCCCCCCCCACTTTTTTTTTAAACCAACTTATTTGTTCCTGGACACATAGAACAAGTAACAGATAGAATCAAGTTTTCCAAAAGGTGTGTGTGTGTGTGTGTGTGTGTGTGTGTGTGTGTGTGTGTGTGTGTGTTTGTGTGTAAGAGAGGAAAAGTGGGGAAATAATGTTCTTAAATTTAGGAAATGTGTTTTAAAGGGTGGGGGGTGGGGGAGACAGAGAAGGTGAAAAAAATATCAAGAAGCAAATAGAAAATTGTGATCGTTTCCAAATAATTTCAGGACAGACAGAGGGAAGTCTAAAGGTTGGAGAGCTACAAAAACATGAGAGTCTCCCAGGGTTTCTAAGTTTCATTTTCGTCACTTTTTGGCCTTCCAGTCCTGTTGTTTATCCCTCCACAGAAACCACCACACAAATGATAAACCATGCCCAAACCCTAACAAGCCACGTTCAGCACGCCTCTCTGCAATGCACCTTATTTCCATTTCCCTCGGACTCTTGACTCCATCTGCACCTTGGGTAAACTCCATTTGTCAGCGGGATCTCAAGGGAGCCAGCCCAGTGCTGGCCGCCATTCCTGCACCAGTTAACACTCGGCCCGGCACTCACTTTTAGAGCTCGGACTCCTAGGGCGACAAGACAGAGAGGCTGGAGAATAGGAGAAGAGGGGTGGGCAGACCAGCAGCTCTCCCCCTCCTCGTTGAAAAGAGGGGGGGATTGGGAGGAGGGGCGCCCATGTCTCTACAACGCCCCCCCCCCCAGCGTGGAGCAGAGGTCATTGAAATGTCAGTTCAGTCCATTCGCTCTCGGGAGCAGCTCCTCCCGTCCTCGCTGCCACCCACCCAGGAAACCAGGAGCTGCGCTCTAGACGAGTGCCCCCCACCCCAAGCCTACCAGCACCCCAATATTTGTTTATCGCAGGTCAGTTAGAGAAGTCCCCCATTCCGTTCTGACATAACATTGATTCTCACATCCTCACGCGTTGGTCTATCTCCCACTCCCCCAAACTCTTCGAGGCGACGTTTCGGAACCCCCAAACCCCTCCCCCCCCCGCTCCTAACCAAATGAATTCGTTTTTTTTAACTGTTTAAGACACACCCTAAGAGGCTTTGGCACAGGACACCAGGCAAACCCGTACAGCTAACTGCTTTTCCCGGGATCCTGTTCCTCCACCCACCCCCCCCCCCAAGCCCCCATTAAGTAATTCCTGGGTTCCCCTGGCTGGGACACTAGGAGGCTCAGCCGAAGCGGGTGCGATGCTAGTGGAGGCGAGGCCACCGAGGCGGGAGCGAGGACGGGGGGCTGGGGCTGGAATCCAGGTCTCTCCCCCCCCCCCGACACACACCCCCGTACACACATCGACCCCCAGTGCTCGGGGCCCCTAATGAGCTGCTGAAAGGGAGCAGACTCCGGTGCGCGTGGCTCGCAGGCCTCCCGGAGTCCGGGGCGCCCTGATTGGCCAGCTGCGCCTCGCGACCTCCATTCATTAATAAATTAGCGGCACGCTCCAGCCGAGCGCGAGCCACCAATCACAATGGACAGCGGCGGCGACAGCGGCCGCAGCTTGAGCCGCGGGGCCGCGGCGGTGGCTTTGGGTAGCGGAGGCTGCAGCCTGGCGCTCCAACAGGAGCTTTAGAACCATTTGATGCTGATTAGATAAAGGGGGGGAAGGGGGGAGGCGGGGGGGGGCGGGGGAAGGATGGATGGCTGGGCCAGGGGAGGGGGAGAAAGGGGCTAAAAGAAAGAAATGAATGATGATAATACAATGAAAAGAATAAGCCGGGGAGGGGGAAGCGGAGGGGGGAGGAAGGGAGAAGGAGGGAGGGGAGGGGGAGTCGGGGGGGGTAGGTGAGGTGGGGGCGCCGGGGGGCAGATCTGATTGTTTTCTTGGTGGTATATATAAGGGGTTTTAAGGAGAGTCGTGTGCCAGACACGCAGCCAACTGAGCCACAAGCAGCTTCGCTTTAACTGGAGTGGCTGGGAGTCGCGTGCCAGGAGCCACACGGCCAGGGGGACTGACTGACAGACAGACAGACAGACAGACACGTACTACCACCATCACCGCCGCCGCCACCCTGCGGTCACCACCCACCACACCCGGCACCCGGGGCGGGCTCTTTGGCACCCTGCGCCCGGGTTATTGGGGTCCCCTGCGGGGCGCGCGGCACCGCAGCGCCAGGCCCGGTCGGCCCGGTTAGCAAAAGGCCCCAGCGTTGGGCTGGGTTTGCGGAAGGGGGGGTGGGGAGAAAAGACGCCCGGCACACGCCAAAGTCCCCGCCACGCCGAGGGCACATCTAGAGCCAAGTAGGTAAGCATCTGCGCCGCGGCAGGGGCTGGCTTTTTCCCCGCAACTCCCTTCTTGATCGCGCCCGCGCAGGGCAGAAGCTGGGTCGCTCCAGGCTCGCCAATCGTCCCTTCCTTCTCTGAGCAAGAATCCCCGCAGGCCGGGGTGCGGGGTCTCCGCTTAGGACGATCCTTGGCCTGGCTCTTCCGCGCCCCGGGGAGCCGAGATCGCGCCCGCGTCTAAGTCTCCATCTCATACATGGATACCCTATTCTCTCTTTCTCTCTCTCCTATCTCTTCTGTAGGATGTTCGTCAAATCCGAGAGCGCGGAGTTGAAGGAGGAGGAGGACGTGTTGGTGTTGCTCGGCTCAGCCTCCCCAGCCTCGGTCACCCTGACCCCACTGTCCTCCAGCGCCGGCGAGGAAGAAGAGGAGGAGGACGACGACGAGGAGCCGGGCGCACCGGGGAGGGCGCCGGCGAAACTCGGAGCTGAGGCCGGGCCGGGGGCGCGGGGCCGGGCCGTCGCGGGGGCCGGGGTTTGTCGTCCCACGCCATTATTGGGTCTGGTCCATGAGTGCAAACGGCGGCCGTCCCGGGCACGGGCCGTCACCCGCGGTGCCAAAACGGCCGAGACGGTGCAGCGCATCAAGAAGAGCCGGAGATTAAAAGCCAACAACCGCGAGCGCAACCGCATGCACAACCTGAACGCGGCGCTGGACGCGCTGCGCGAGGTGCTGCCCACCTTCCCCGAGGACGCCAAGCTCACCAAGATCGAGACCCTGCGCTTCGCCCACAACTACATCTGGGCGCTCACCGAGACCCTGCGGCTGGCGGATCACTGCGGGGCCGGCGCCATCTCCTTCTCCGAGGCGGTGCTGCTGAGCCCCGGGGGCGCCAGCGGGGACAGCCCTTCGCCCGCTCCCACGTGGAGTTGTACCCACAGCCCCGCGTCGCTGGCCTCGCCCTCCTCCTCCTCCTCGTCGCCCGCGTCCTCCAGCTCCACGTCCCCCTACAGCTGCACTTTATCGCCCGCCAGCCCCGCGGGCTCCGACGTGGACTATTGGCAGACTCCACCTCTCGCCTTCCCGTAGTAGCCAGGGAGCGTTAGCAGAGCTCCCCACCTCCAGAGACCTTTAAGGGAGGGGGGGGTCCCTTTCCTGTCTATCTCCTCCCTCCTTTGTTTTCCCTCCTGCCCCCATTTCCCACACCCTTAGAAGCCACTTCGCAGAGCAGATTTAGCCCTGTGGGATGATTCCTCCCCTAGTTGCCTAATGGGTTAACTTTGATTTATGGAAGCTGTAAGGGAGTTTATTGTCCAAGAGGACAAGGGCGGTGTGAGGGCTGTGTGTGTGTGTGTGTGTGTGTGTGTACTGGGACTTGAACTCCGGACCTGGGAGCTGGCCCTTGGCTTTTTCTGCCCTACCACTTGAGTCATAGCTCCACTTTTTTGTTTTGTTGTTGTTGTTGGTTAATTGGAGATAAGAATCTCACGGACTTTCCTCCTTTCCATTCCTCCCCCCCCCTTCCCCAGCTGGCTTGGAACCCCAATCCTCAGATCTCAGCCTCCTGAGTAGCTAGGATTACAGGCCACTGAAGGGGCAGGTGAGCGTTTCTTGAGAATAAAGAGACTGGTGAAAAGAAGAGGTTGGACTGATGCTCCTCTAGTCACTTAATCGCCCGAAAAGGACTCGTGTGAATCTCCCACAGGGAATGCAACTCGTTCCTGTGATCTCTTCACCTTTGCGTCTACATAGAGATGTTAATGCCTAGTAGAAAGAAATGTATCTTAGCATCTGAATGATTGGACCCGTAATAATATTATCCACAGATTTGCAATGGCTGGCATCTGCTTTCTTCCCATTGCTGTCTGCAGGCTGTGGGAATTTCACCTGTCAAACCAAACTTTCCCTCTGTGGTGCGCACTTTGTTGTTTTTCCCAGATTCCTCACAATGCCCATTGTTTCTCCTTCTCTTTCCTTTTTCTTCTCCATTTTGCCATCTGTCTCTTATGATTTATAATGGGTAAGAGAAAAACTGGGGTTTTTAAAGAGCCAGGTTAGAAGTCATTGTATAATTTGTAAGCTTTGTAATGATTGAATGCAAGCGTGGAAATTTAGGCTGAACTCTCTAGCAAAAGGAAAAAAAATGTGGAGGAAAAGGAGAAAATCGGGAGGGAGGATTGCTTCATGCATTATTTATCATGACCTTTTAGGGGAGAAGGAACTCCCCCATTCTTTCAAGAGATTAAAAATAAATCAACAGTCTGAAAACCTAAGCAGACACGGAGAATTATCAGGATCAGCCACACACGTGTTCCCTTCTATTTATTATGAAGAAGATTTTCATGGGAAAAATATGTATTTTTTGTATATTCTACAGAGTTTATTCTAGTATGTATTTACGTCTTGAAGAACAAGAAAATGGTTCTTTTGATTAAGCTACAAATAAAGTATCTAATTTTCATAAGTTTTGTGTGTAGCATTCTATTTTTTTCTTGATTGTGGTATTAATTAATTAATTTATTGTGCTTGTCCTGGGGCTTGAACTAAGGGCCTAGGCACTATTCCTGAGCATTTTTCCTCAAGTCTACCACTCTACCACTTGAGTCATAAGTCCACTTCCAGCTTTTTGTGGTTAATTGTAGATAAGAGTCTCACAGACTTGCCTGCTCAGGCTGGCTTGGTACGAAGATCCTCAGATCTCAGCCTCCTGTGTAGCTACAAGTACAGGTGTGAGCCATTGGCACTTGGCTTGACTGTAATTTTTAGATGCCTTATGAGTTACATTTTTCTGAAAGCCTCTACATCAAGTAGAAAATACCAGTTGCATTTTTGGCATTATTTTGTATGGAATTTCACTAAGAAATTACAAGAAGCTGAAGCGTATTTGAGGTACTAACATTGAAAGAAGTGCATTTCGATACAAAGACAAATTTTGTTGATAAGAAATCAGTTTTTGAGCCAGAGATATAGCTCAGTGGTAGAGCAACACCAGAAACAACCAAAAAAGAAAAAAATCAATTTTTGAACAAACAAAAGCAAAAGGAAAGGGGGTAGGAAGTCACAATAAGCTTCAAACATCAGAATTTTTTTAATTTAAAGAAATAGTGAAGTAGAGCTGGGAAGGTGGCTCAGTGGTAGAGCGCTTGCCTTGCATGCATGAGGCCCTGGGTTCAGTTCCTCAGTACCACATAAGCAAAAAGAAAAAAAAAAGCCGGAAGTGACGCTGTGGCTCAAGTGGTAGAGCACTAGCCTTGAGCTGAAGAGCTGAGGGACAGCACCCAGGCCCAGAGTTCAGGCCCATGACCAGACCCCCCCCCCAAAAAAAATAGTGAAGTTGCCAGGTGCCAGTGGCTCAGTCCTATAACCCTAGCTACTCAGGAGGCTGAGATCTGAGGACCTTTGTTCCAAGCCAGCCCATGCAAGAAAGTCTATGAGGCCTTCACATCCAATTAACTACCAAAGAGCCAAAAATGGAGCTGTGGCTCAAAGTGGTAAGGCTCAAGGACAGCACCCAGGCCCTTAGTTCAAACCCGAAGTCTGGCACAATAAAAAAATAATAATTAGTGAAGTTGGAGTTTCTTGGTAGAGTGTATAGAAACTTGATTCTGAGGTTGGAGGTATAGCTCAGTTGGTAGAGCACTAGCCAATGAACACAAGCATCAGGCATGGAGTTCAAGTCCCAACCTCAGACCTAAAATAGAAAAGAAAAGAAACTTGATTCTTATCCTTAACTTCATCTTCTTTTTTTTGGGGGGGGGAGGGGTCCAGATGTGGGGCTTGAACTCTGGGCCTGGGTGCTGTCCCTCAGCTCTTCAGCTCAAGGCTAGCTCTCTACCACTTGAGCCACAGCGCCACTTCCAGCTTTTTTTTCTTTTTGCTTATGTGGTACTGAGGAACCGAACCCACGGCCTCAGGCATTCAAGGCAAGCGCTCTACCACTGAGCCACCTTCCCAGCCCTCCTTAACTTCTTTTGGTGTCAGTTTTCATTTGTATAGTGAAGGGATTGATAGGAGTCTTAAGAGCCCTCCTTACAAATCTCACATTTTGGATGTCACTGAATTTATAAATTAATTATAGGAGGTTGATTTTGTATTAGCCTTTTAAACTAGCTATTTAGTTTGCAAAGCAAATTCCTGGTTTGGGGGGGGGGAGAGAAATATTCTCAAGAGTTTTGCTTAGTTTTCTTTTTCTTTTCTTTTCTTTTCTTTTTTTTTGGGTCCGGTCGTGGGGCCTGAACTCTGGGTCTGGGCACTGTCCCTCAGCTCTTCAGCTCAAGGCTAGCACTCTACCACTTGAGCCACAGCACCACTTCCGGCTTTTTTCTTTTTGCTTATGTGGTGCTGAGGAATCGAACCCAGGGCCTCAGGCATGCAAGGCAAGCGCTGTACCACTGAGCCACCTTCCCAGCCCCTTTTGCTTAGTTTTTATACTGGGCATTAGAAGGACTTGTTGGAAAATCTCTTTTAATTTAAATAAAAAGAATATATGACAGAAATAGCTTGGACTTCCTTCCTTCATTGAAGTAGAGTCAAAAAAAGAGGAAGCAGCCAGGCACTGGTGGTTCACACCTGTAATCCTAGCTACTCAGAAGGCTGAGATCTGAGGATTATGGTTCAAAGCCAGCCTGGGCAGGAAAGTTGTGAGACTTTTTATCTCCAGTTAAACACCAGAAAACCAGAAGTGGAGGTGTGAGCTCAAAGTGGTAGACCACTAGACAAGATAAGCTCACGGACAGTGCCTAGGCCCTGAGTTCAAGCCCCACAAATGACACAAACAAAACAAAAACAAAAACACAGAAAGGAAGCAAAAATGGCATAACTTGCACCTCAATTCTCAGTGCAGAAATGAATGACCTTTGATTGACTTAGATTCAAAGATGACCAAGTTAAAGTTGACCGCATTCTAAATTTAAGCTGCAGGAGAGATGATGGCTGACAAACTAACAAAACAAAAAAATTATGTCTGTGAGTTTGGGAAAGGGGGCGGAGAGGGGGAGGAGAGGGCATTAAAGCAACTAGAGGGGCTGGGAAGTTGGCTCAGTGGTAGAGCGCTTGCCTTGCATACATGAGGCCCTGGGTTCGATTCCTCAGCAACACATAAGCAAAAAGAAAAAAGCCGGAAGTGGTGCTGTGGCTCAAGTGGTAGAGCGCTAGCCTTGAGCTGAAGAGCTGAGGGACAGGGCCCAGGCCCAGAGTTCAGGCCCCACGACCGGACCCCAAAAAATAAAAAATAAAGGGTTCTTGTTCTCCACAAAATAAATAAATAAATAAAGCAACTAGATTTTGGTGGTTCACAACTGTTAGCTATTCCGAAGGCTGAGATCTAGAAAGTTATAGTTCAAAGGCAGCCCAAGGAGAAAAGCTGGACTGGGGGCATGGTCCACATGGTAGCAGACCAAACAAGCAAATCAAATAATCAGATGCCTTCTAGTACTAGAAAAGAAAAGGCATTTTTTTTCAAGGTACACTTGCCCTGTGAATCTCAAATCTGTTTTGGTTTTGAGCTAAACCTTCCATTTCTTTGCATAAGGCAACAATAATTTATTTCACCTGAGAAGTCAATCTATAACAGCTTTTTTATTTATATGGATGATATTAAGTGATCAATATTTTCATAATTCCAAATTTATCAGAGAAAGAGTTATGTAAAAAGGTCAAGGTTTTTGCTTAGTTTTCATACTGGCCATTAGCAGGACCCATCAGAAAGTCTCTTTTAATTTAAAGATTGTGTTATTCATATCCAAGAGTAATCTACTATGGGGGGAAAAGCAATAACTTTCTAATTTACCTCTATGTGTCTAGTGTTGAAAACATCACGCCAACAAGCAAAGTAAATGGAATAGGAGGGTATGAAAACATCCAGTTTGAGGCTGAATCACATTGTGTGACTTGATGGTACTTAAAATTATATATGGGGCCCCTTGCAAAGCCACCAAAGGAATACGTCATGGCATGGGTCTGTGTGGCAGACTCTCAGAGGGATCTAATCTGTCTGGGAAAACCTTCCTAGTTGGTGAACGAATTCCATTAACATGTGGTGCTGATGGCTTGGGAAGGGCAACAGACATAGCTTTGAGTTAGGGCAGTAC